GAGACCGAGAGAGAGAGAGAGAGAGAGAGAGAGAGAGAGAGAGAGAGAGAGAGAGAGAGAGAGAGAGAGAGAGAGAGAGAGAGAGAGAGAGAGAGGTCATACTCACGCCACAACTTCTGTACCAAATGTGTGTGAAAGAGAGAAAGAGAGATCAGACCTGTAGTATGATAGGCCATACTTACGCTAAAACTTCTGAACCAAATGTAACCATAATTACAGGCAGATGCATCAAGGGAAGTCCCAGTCTGAATGTGCCCTTAATATTGTGTTACATTCTGTGAATCCCATCTTTTTTTGCAAGGTTCATCATGCATATTCTCATTGCTTCAGCCTGTTTTCAACCTAACTGTTCATCCAACCCAGTTCATTCTGGACAGCAATCAAAGTCCTGCCCGGTTCAGCAAATGCAAAATGGCCTAAATAGAAGCGGTTGTACAAATGAATGATCCAATTGAGCAGTATGCAATTGGGCCAGAAGGAATCGGGCAAGAGCAACTGGGTGGCATGCAATCGGACGAGATGAGATGCGATCGGGTGAGACGATTGGGCCACGCGCAATGCAATCGGGTGAGATGCAATGCGATGTGATCCAGAGAGATGCGATGTGAGGCAATCGAGCGAGATGTGATGTGATTGGGGGGCAAGATGTGATGCGATCGGGCAAGATGCAATGCGATTCGGGGCAGATGTAATGCAATCAGGGCGGACATAATGCGATCAGGCAAGATGCCACGCAATCGGGCAAGACGCAATGCGGTCAGGTGAGATGCAGGCGACATGTGATGTGATCGGGCAAGCTGCAATTGGCCGATGGGATTCGCAGAGGCAGGGATTCGAAACTTCTAAAGAACAAAAGAGCAACAAAGGTTTATCCATCTCTCTCCGCCTTCATCCAAGTCTGTTATGCGGTGGGCCTGAAATGTTTGCACAGATGCTTATGTTACACATCCTCAGTAGAGAGAAATATCACCCACCAAGCAGAGAGACATGTCACCACTGCTCCTCTTGTCCTTCTCTCTGCCGGTGTTTTCCTATTCTGTCGTTACAATGCACATTCCTTTCATTCTTTGGGAGAAGGGAAAACTCCAAAAAGACTAAAAACGACAACGAAAGGAAAAGCAATTCGTAATGTACGGTGGCACACGAAGAGGCCCGAATTTGCAGCCCGCATTAGTTAATAACCAATCAGAATTGAGCGACCAACCAAATGACTTTTTTTTTTCCCCACGTCTACGCGTACTCACCATCCTGTTTCTCAAATGATGCGGCACGGGAATTGGCGGAACATACGCCTCTTCTACGGTAGAGGCTGCTGCAGGCATGAAAGCCTCTTCTACGGAGGAGGAGGCTGCCGGCGGCCTTGCCTCCTCGTCTCCCTCTCTTCCCACTCTGTGTGCTTCTTCCATGTTCCGGTCAGGCACCTGCTGAGTGTCGTACGAGAAACCAATAGCCGCATACCTATGGCTTTCCATCCTTTGCCTCTTCGAGCTCTCTTCTGCTTCAGGAAAGAAGCACGAACAAAGAAAAGAACAGAAGTTGTCAGATCATATATCCGCCGAGTTCACACAACAACAACGACAACAACAACACAGTCCCAAAGAGATCATCTAACAGGTTCGAGAAGTTATGGCTCTCCCCTCCCTCAAGCCATCTTTGTCATTCGAATAAACCTTAAGAGCCAAAACCCAATTTATATACAGCAGTAAGTCGCAAGTTGCGGAGGAGTGATCTGTGAAACGGTTTTCACCTATCTGCGGTCACAGATGCGGGCACTAGAGTTCGATCCCCAGACCTTACCTTGCCCATGTACAGTATTGAGTTGAACCCCGAATGTTTGAACCCGTGACCTGTGTTTGGTAGTTGTTTGTCGTCTGTCGTAGGCCTGTGTAGTTGTAGGGGTTCGATCTGCAGGTCTGTCGAGTAGGGGTCACAGCTCTGTAGAGGTCCTGGCTGTAGATGCTCTGAAAGGTCAAGGTCGTAGCTGCTACAGTCCTGAAACGTCAAGGTCGTAGCTGCTACAGTACCCGAAAGGCCAAGTCCACAGAAGGTCCGGAAGTGGCCTTTCGAAGTGTCTCACATTTAGTCAGAGGCAAGTGGGCAAGTGGTGCACCCAACAGCACTGAGCTAGCAGTGCCACTGCATCGAGTCGGCGGTGCGATCCCGTGCAGCCAGCGGTACCGGTCCCAGTCAGTCATAGTCCTGTCAAGCAAGTACCGTGTGGGACTGTGTGCACCAAGGGCCTGGAAAATGGGCAGACCAACGAGTTACAGAAGTATAAATCAAGAGGCAGCACCCAGCCATTCATTCATTCGCTGTGTAAGCCATGCGGAAGCGCTGCTACAGCGTCTTGTGCGAAGGTGGTCTGCAGGTTGCCCGAGGACGAAGTGGGCTGACAGGAGATCGTAGCCATAGTCAGTAGTGGTAGTGCGGCCATAGCCGCTGTAGGAGGAAGTTAGACTTAGAGTGCGTGTGTGGTGGTATTCAGGGTGATCCAGAGTGAGCGTGTGTGAACAGTGGAGTTGGACACAGTGACGAAAGTTGGGATGTTTAGGCGCAGATCCGCCATAGCCTGTTGAAGTGAATTTGCATCTGAACTGTGTTCTTGATTTCCATATCTCTAAGCTTTGAGTGGGCACCCGGCGCCAGTGTGAATCTCCATCTGTTTGCATGTATACGAAGTGGAAGTGAAAGCAAGTCTGATTGCATCTGCTCCTATGTGATTCTTTACTCTGACGCCAATCTGTTAGCTAAAGGTAATGGCTCCTGGGCCAGAGGTGATGAGATAGATGGAGCCGAAGACGGAGAAGGATAATTGAGAAGGCTGTCATGCCCAATCGTTGGATAGTGATCTCAATGGGGCAGAAATGGCAATGATGGCGATGATGATATACTATCCATAATCACACTGCCATTGTGATTGCAATGGGACGATCGATGTAATTCCTCGTACATATCGCGTCGAAAAGGGTATCACAGAGATAGGCATATAACTCCTTGGGTCTGAAGGAGACTTCTCAACAAAAATACACACGAAAAATACATGTGCCAGACCAACCATCATGTCCAAAAAAAAAACATCTGGGTCACAAGCGCACGCACCTATAATATCCAGCAACAACCTCTCTCCATGCTGCAGCACGCACACAGGCACAGAGAGAGAGAGAGAGGGAGAGAGAGAGTCCAGCAACAACCTCTCGCCATGCTGCAGCACGCACAGGCACAGAGAGAGAGAGAGAGAGAGAGAGAGAGAGAGAGAGAGAGAGAGAGAGAGAGAGAGAGAGAGAGAAACACCCACACCTGCATGAAGCACCATGGAGTTTAAAAACCATCCCAGAATCATCCAGGCAATAGAACCGTTTATACTATTCGACCCAGTCCCATCAAGACACCTCATCCTTTGTCATTAACGTTGATGAAACCATCATTGAGCATCTGATCACCGAGCCTGTTGCCACCGAGCCCATTGCCGAGACTCCTATTTACTAAACCCGTTACCGAGCCTCCAGATTACCAAGCCTGTTAGCCAAGCCTCTTATTTACTGAGCCTGTCACCAAGCCTCCTAATTACTGAGCTTGTTTACCAAGCCTCCCATTAATGAGCCTGTTACACAGCCTCCCATTTACTGAGCCTGCTCTTTACTGAGCCTGTTACCAAGCCTCCTATTTACTGATCCCATTACCGAGCCTCCTATCTTCTGAGCCTGTGACCAAGCCTCCTATTTACGGACCCCATTACCAAGCCTCCTATCTTCTGAGCCTGTAACCAAGCCTCCTATCTATTGAGACTGTGACGGAGCCTCCTATTTCCTGAGCTTCTTACCCAGCCTCCCATTTACTGAGCCTGTTACCGAGCCTGTCTGTTACCGAGCCTGTTATCAAGCCCGTTACTCGAGTCACTTCTTCAACTCCAACGAACCAACAGTGACTCATCCTCGTGGCAAACTGGCCCACCCATGTTACCAAGCCTGCTACCGAGCCTGTTACCGAGCCATATTGCCACAACTATTACCGCACCTGTTATACCAGAGCTCAGGCAATTGCAAGGAATCCATACCAAGCCTGCTACCGAGCCTGTGACCGAGCCTGTTACCGCACTATAGCTTTTTGACTGATCTCTGGACATATTGCGGTCAAACCGTCAAAGACAATACATCCATGAACAGCAGTAATTGCCGTGAGATACATCCAGGAAAGTCGTAGGACAAGTGTCCCCCACCATCCATCATTCATTTCTTTTTTTCCGTTTTTTTTCCTTTTCCTCCATTTTCTATTTTTCCTATTTTTTCTTTTTATTCCTTTTTTTTCCTTTTTTATTTTTTTTCCCTTCTTCTTTTCCTCTTTTTTCCCTTTTCCCTTCTTTTTATTATTTTTTCCCCTTATTTTCGCCATATTCATTTCTATCGGGGAGCTCAATGTCTTTCCACGTGTCAGAGGCAGGGAACGACACGTCCTATGAACGAGCTCATAACCGTCTCTTACCTCCCTGCATCTTCTGCGGAAAGGGGGAATAATTCAGAGATATGCAATCAGTACGGAATAGCGGTTAGTAGGGGCATAACGCGAAAGAGGAGGGGTGGGTAGGGAGGCATTCTCTGTCGTTAGTAGGGATAATATTCAGGGTCTCCGAAAGGGGGCATAACAGGATTGGTGAGGTGGGGGGCGGGGGAAGGGGGAAGGGGGAAGGGGGAAGGGGTCCCATTTTACTTCCTAGGCTAACGAGGGGGTGGGACACCTCGAAAGACCAGGAAGGGGACTGGGACCTGG